CATTTTATTCAATAGGTATAATATGCAAGTATTCAACATGTATTTAGATTGATTTAATATTTATTTAATTTGATCATGGTATACTTTATTTAACATGTTCTACAATATTTTTAATTTATAATGTTATATTGAAATGGAACTTAATCCCACCGAACATTGATCCAATTTCAATCGACTTAAGACTTTTCAAATCTCCATTTTTAATGTAACTTAAATTGGTTCTAATTGAAATGGTATCAAACTTTCAAAAAATTGTTCAAATTTAACGAAAAAAGTATCAACCGTTGGATCCATAAAAAAATTGTCCAAGAAAAGAATAATTGTGTCCAACTTGAATTAGACTCAAGTCTAAACCAATCAGCCAAACTCAAACCAACCCGAGTTTAGTTGGTTTGAATTGGGTTGGGTTTCAAACGTGAATGAATTGATTTCGATTTGAATTATTGTCAAACCGACCATGTTGTGTTGGGTTTGGGTTGGATTCAAAACCAATCCAACCCAATCTACGTCCAGCCCTAGTTAAAAGCTTTTGTCTTGAGCTCCTTGTTGCCCCGTTTCTCCAAGGAAGCTGTTGCCACGTTCTGCACTGCATCACTATATATGTGATGAAATTGGTGAATTCTTATTTCTGCTCTAAATGAGGTACTAAGATTTTCTTATGTGGTAGACTAGGGTTTTGCGGCTATATACAGCATGAAATAAGTTACAAAACTATTGAACATGGCAGTAGAGAGTTATACAATTTCACGATTTAACCAAAAAAAAAATTACGTGCAAGCTAAATCAATGAGAACCTTGCACAATAAAATGAATTATGACAATTTCATTATAGGTCGTTATGTAAGACATATGGGTTATACTCAATAATATAGTTACACTTAACATATTTTAATTATACACAGCAAATAAATTAATTATGTACCAAAAACTAAAAATAAATCAATTATGATAATGCTAGTCCGGATAATATATTACGACATAGAAAAATGTTAGATGTACATTAACAGTTACATATATAGTGGTTTACATACGGATGAGATATAAAAAAAAAGATTCGAGAAGTTATTTTATTTATTTATTTATTTTATTGAAGAAATTCTAACTTAATCATATCTCACTACAAACTTATTATTTACATGTAACACAACTGTACAACATAATGTTGACATATTGATATCATTGCGAATGCAAATGTCAAGATTGGAACTATAAATTAGAAAAATATTACAGGAGTTTTGATTCCAAGATAACAAATTAAATGTGCATGAACCATAAGATACTAAATCATTTCTTATAATTTATTATTTAATGCACACTAATAAATGAGGCCAAAAATTATAAATAATAATCACAGTATGGACTACTTTATTATTGAAGTAAACGAGAGATCCATATGTCGTGCTGATCTTATGGACCTCAAGTAGCCACACTTATTTTTTATTTTTTTGAAGATACGATTTTTTTCGTCCAAGAAAATGTAGACTGAGGATTAAGCTCCATGGAAGGTTCATGGAAATAATGTCACTTTGACTTTTAGACATTTTAATTTATAAACTATTTAATAAATAAACAAATGGGTTTGGTAGGTAAGTGTATTAAGGAGGTGTCATCCTAATTGGGACATTTTGATACACAACTAGTCTCTGTTTGGTCCAGATTAAAATTAGATTTTAATCCAAATCAAAGTCAAAAAATCAATATTAACCACATCTATTATGTGTCTCACAACTTTCCAATCACACATTTCAAAAACTTCTATCACAATCTACTAAAAATCTAATTTTAATCTTCACCAAACACTCTCTTAATTCTTGTCTCTTATTATTTATATAAAAAAGTAGGTTGGTGGATTTTTAAGTTTATGGCGATATTCTTCCGACTATCTAATTTTTAGGTTATCGAGTTTTTCTGATGAATTTCTTAATTAATTTTTAACTTCACACGTATTTCAGCTATTAAATAATGTAGAAATGTATAAAAATAAATATTGGGAACTAATTTCAAATGTATATTTACAAAAGTCTATTATCCATTGCTATCCAAAAAAAAAAAGAGAGAACTCTATTATTCGTATAACTAAAAATTCAACTTCTTCAAATTCGAAAGGTCAAGTATTTACAATTTTTAGCAATAAATTATTTGCTTAGAATAAATTCTGATTAAAAAAGTTCTGTATTTAAATAGTTAAACTTCTAACTGAAAAATAAATATGAAATTTGACCGTTGTCTAATAATATAAAAGATAATTTAAAGTAAAATTGTGGCTCATAAACACATTTTCATTAGTTTACTGAATGTTTAAAAAACATTTAATTAAAATTTAAACTAACGAATATATATATATATATATAATATAGATTAAAATATAGATTTTTATCAAAATCAAAATCAACAATTAAGTTTAATCGCACATTTTATGAGACCTATAACTTTTCAATTACATATTTTATTAATTTTGCAAAAAATATGATTTTAATTTTTATCAAACAAGGGCTAAATTACGTAATAAAAAATTATAATCTAGTGCATTTTTTAAAAATTAAACTGAAATAGTAAGTCATATAAATATTCCAATAAAATTGTCTCATAGTTTTTTCGTATGTAAAATCATTTTATTCCTGTAATGTAGTTTTCAATAGTTTAAAATTTATAAATATATATATATTTTTATGTCAACTAGATGAAAGGGTGATTATATTGCCTTCATGGAATTCTTTTGTTGTACCATATTTTAATTGTACTAAGCGTTCTCAATCTTTATTTATTGTCGCACTTATATCATCATCTATTTTCTCTCGTATTCGTATGCTAATCTTTCTTTAATTAGCATATTTGATAAGTGATGATGGTTAATGTCCAAATATTTCGTTAATGTGCTTTATATGAAGGAACGGATATTCTATTACAAATATTTCAAAATTCTGGAAGGAAGCTATCGTCAAGATAAAGTGATGGTACAAAATAAAATTATGATGGCAATATAATTACCCTATACGTAAACCATTTATTGCGGACCCTCTTGTTACGAAACTGAAATGTAGAGGACTCACTAAAATTGAATGTTGGGAACCTAGTTGATCTATTTTGCATAGGTTAGGATTTTGACCGAAATTATAAATTTTTGGAGTATCATTGAGCAATACTTTTGCTATTTATTGTCACTAGGAAAGACCTCATTTCCATAAATATTCCAAATTCTCCAAACCAATACAAGAGAAAACGACACTAATTTTTTTAGGGTTTTTCTTATAATGCTACCTTGTAGTAGAGATATGCAGGCCATGAACATCAATTCATTCTTGAACCAACTACAACAACCTCAAATGTCTCTCCCAGAATTAGAAATTCATCATCATCAAAATGGTCTTTCATCCCACTTCGATCCTGCGTCATCTCATGATGATTTTCTCGACCATATTCTATCTTCAGCTCCATCCTCCTTCCATTGGGACCTCTCTTCTCCATCTCCGAGCACAACCGGTGACCCATCGTTGCCATCGAATCTGACTAACCATTTCAATGATCAATCTGCTAAAGCCTTGATGTTGTCTAGAGGACCGCCTAACCTGGTCAGTTTTTGCAATTTCTCCTGTGAAAAATGAAAACGAATTACTGCTCTTAATCAAGGATATTAGTAACTAATGATTGCGATGTAAATACAGGAAAATGATGCATCAGTGCAAGCTCTATATGATGGATTCACAGGATTTCTTGGTCAAACTTCAGATCAAACTCAGCATTTTCACCACCCTCAGGATCATAATTCGGGAGCCCCTGCAGCGGAGGCTGCACCACCATCGACGGCAAGTGGATCAGGTGGAGGAGGGGCGGCGGGACAGCGGAGGCAGAGGGTGAGGGCTAGGAGAGGACAGGCTACTGATCCTCACAGCATCGCAGAAAGAGTACGTACATACATTATAGTACATAAACACTAATTTTTTTGTTTTTGATTGATTATTTGTTTGTTTTAGGTCAATTTTTATTTGTTTCTGATTCTTGAATTTATTTATTGTTTCATTATTTTGTGATGAACTCAACTGTGGAACAGTTACGTCGGGAGAGAATTGCGGAGAGAATGAAGGGTTTGCAGGAGCTTGTACCAAACTCTAACAAGGTAATTACCATCATCATTATCTACACTAATTATTTAATATCCTACCTTATTCATTTATTCATCACTATAAAAGATTAAATACAATTAATTAATTATTTGTTCGAAATGTCCCATTTAATTTAATTGTCTTTTGAACTATTTTTCAAATAAAATTTCGAAATATCAACACATCACATCTTGTTAGTAAATCGAGAAGACATAATTTCAATTATATTGCTTATAATATTATGCGTAGATGTCTTCCTAGTCTATGTTTGGTTCCTATTTTTTTTTTGAAAAAACATTTTTTCAAAACTCATTTTTAACCAAACATTCTCTATAATTTCACACATAAATCAAAAATTTGTCATTTGTTAACCACGCATTTTTCAAAAAATCATTATTCTAAAACACATTTTCTTACCAAAATGGAGCTCAAATAAGGGCATATTTATTAACAAAAATTGTTGTGTCAATTTATCAAAACTTGAATAGAGAGAGTGCTAAAAGAAAATAGCATGTCTCAACTCAAATAGGGGGCTTAATATCAAACTTAATACATTCACAATTATTATGCACTCTTTTGTAGGACATATTTTATGAAACCATTGCAGTGGGCTAATGTTATTTTATGAAATTAAAAATTAATGGTGTTGGTGGGGGGTTGTGGAATGACAGACAGATAAGGCTTCAATGCTGGATGAGATCATCGACTATGTCAAATTCCTGCAGCTCCAAGTCAAAGTAATCGTTCCCTCTCAAATAAGTTTATTTAATTTATATTTATTTAAGATTTGTAGTGGACAATATAATATTCAATAGCTTAGAAAATATTGGCTATAGTTTTAAATATTACCTTCTTCAATTCCTTTTCAACTCTCATCAAAATTTCTTCGATTTCTTGTCTTCAGGTTCTTAGCATAAGTAGATTGGGTGGTGCTACGGGTATTCCCCAATCACACCTAGTTCATGGTACGCCTTCTAATCAGGTAATAATTAGTTAATAAAAAATCAAATAGTTGTAGAACGGTCAATTTAAAATGAACTCCGCAACTATTTTCCCTATCATATTCTAAATCTTGATACCAATGGACGTATAAATAAATAAATAAATTTTGTGTCACTTGAGAGCTCACTTACCACAATCTTAAAGATGTCAAATTGTGCACTTTCTAGGGCCAAAATGGCTCTTTTCGTGGGTGGAGTTCGTCGAATCCATCTCGTCCTAATTTTTTGGTTGATGTTTCATTTTGTCGTTCAATGCTAATGCATATAATTAATTCAGAAAGTATTGCATTTTTCATTTCAGCATTATAGCAGATAGCTTCTTGTGAATCAAGAATCCATAAAAGTTAGTCTTGCTTAGTTTTTGTGCTTAATAACTTAAGGGTTTTTTGATTGTGTTTAGGGGAGAAGTGGTAATGGAAAGCAAACAACCCCATTAACCAACAACAACATAACAGGGGCCGATCACCATGTGACGAAGCTACTTGAAGAAGACATGGGCTCTGCCATGCAATACCTCCAAGGCAAAGGTCTCTGCCTCATGCCCATTTCACTAGCCACTGCCATCTCCACAGCCACATGTCGTTCGAGGAACCCTATGGATTCCATTAATAGTAACACCAATAATCAATTGGTTAATGGCGACGAATCTTGTGGGACGTCCTCTCCTAGGATGTCGATCGGCTTTGATCGTTCAGTCAACCACGATTGCAATATCAGCAAAAAAGAATCAAGAGAACAAGAATAACTTGACTCCATTTTAGGCGTGGTGCATTGCTTGCGTGAAGCTTCCGCTAAGCCTTGACAGTCATTTATGTGGTGATTTCTTTTAGTGAACACTTAATTCTGGAGAAAGTATAAAATAAGAAAGTGGCAGAAAGGGAAAAAAATTTGGTGGGTTTTTCGTGGTTTTTATTTCCAACTGATCTGCTACCAAAATAAGTCATTTTTATGTTTTATTATTGAGTATTTAGGTAGACCACTTGGCTTGGGTGAAATGTGTTCAAAAACAGCCCCAAAAATGATGTCTATTTATTCTTTTTAATTTGTGTGATAAATTGCTGATTATTTTGTATTATGGCCTACTTCTAGTTTTATTTTACTAATAGTATGATCAACAAAGAAAAGAATGAATAGATTCGATTAAATTAAATTAAATGTCAAAAGAAGATTGTGAATGATGAAATTTGAAAAACCAATGTTGTATCAAACATACAATACTCTAGATGGAATTATTTGATATAAAAGTAATCTTTTTTAAGAGAAATGTTATTTAGTTTCATTGGGGTTGTAATCCCAATCTAAATGACATCAATGTGGCATTAAATGATAATAGAATTAAATAACTCATTTAATTTCACTTTTCATTTAACATATCATCTAACGCCACTTAAACTAAAGTTATAATCCTAGTGGGGCTACGTAGCATTACTCCTTTAATATTGTAGGTGTGAGATGGTTTGTCAGATCCATTTGGTTGTTAATAATTTAGTTATTATTTTTTTTTTTTACATAATATTAGATAGAAAGAATGTCAAGAGTCTTGTTAAAATCTAAAAAGATAGACCAGGCCATCCAAATGAAGTTGAAGAAGAAGAGATATATTTGAGGAGATTTGCTAATATTGGAGAGATATTTGAGACTATTCATTAAGCTCCTGTTTGAGTCACATTAAAATTTTCATTTTCATTGTTCTACTCATTTTCAACTATGCATTTTTTAATAAAATAATATTTTTCATCACATCAAAAACTTTTCATTGTTTTTCAACCACACATTCTTCATCAATCTACTATTCCCAAATATATTCTTCCAAAATCATATAACTCAAACACACCCTAATATACATTGTGGGTGATTGAGTTCCACAATTGAAATATTTTCTTGATTTGTTTATCTCATTTATTTGATTTTCTCACCCGTAATAGGCAAATCCTTGATGTAATATGTCTATAAATTGTTTGTCATTGCAAACGCCCAACACAAGTGAATACAATCTCCTCTGTTCTTCCTTGAATTTAGGTATGCTACAATGACGCCGAAGTACCACGTAAATTTTTGTTTTCAACTTTACTAGCTTTATTTATTATTGAATTTTTCACAAACAAATCTCAATCACTGATTAAAACATATAGCTCATTTATCATTACATCATTCGTTAACCTATAGAAAAAAATATATAAAAAGTAATTCAATATATAATGCATTTTAGAGCATGGTAAGAGTAACGTCATTTATCGCCACCGGTAATTAGCACAAATCTAGGTAGTTTATAGGGTAAAAAATTTAAAGAACTTTTGTTTACAAATTTATGGAAGTTTACCAAAACGAAAGGAAAATAGTGTGTTTGAAGTTGAAAGAAATAGAAACAAGTTTGGAAAGAGTTGTGAAGGTAGAAAAACCACCTAAAATTGCAGCAACAGCAATGGAAAATCAGTGACACTGTTATGTTATAGATCGACGTATTGTCGGTGAATTCACTTATCATTTTTTTTTCTAAGAGAAAAATCAAATCCACGAATGAATTATTTCCACGCTGCTAATGAGTCACAAATTATC